CTGTGAAAAGGGAACCTTCATACAGAGGCAGCTCCACTAGGGCTGAGGGGAGAAGGCAGAGGAACTCTTGGCTGGCCGAACCTACCGTAGAAGAGGGCAGTGATGGGTCCCAGTCTGGTGGGGCGGGGAAAGCAGGGCTGTGATGGCTCAGGCAGAACGTGGGGCCAGGCTGTACCAGGGCCAGCAGAACCAGCTCCTGGGGGAAAGGGCCTTTGGGATCTCAGCAGAGGCCACAGGACCCCAAGGCCGGTCCCCCGCAGGCAGGCAGGCAGGCAGCGGCCCCCGTGGCACCGGAGAACCCTGAGGCCCAGGAGACCTCTCAGGGCCCCGCACACATTCACATCAGAGGAAGAGACCTCCCAGGGCCCCGCACACATTCACATCAGAGGAGGAGACCTCCCAGGGCCCGCACACATTCACATAAGAGGAGGAGACCTCAGATCCGCTGAGCCGCTCTGGCCCTGTTTTTACAGGGGCTGAGCGGTGAATCAACATTTAAAAACATTTCCCCCCCCAAAAAAAATAGAACTGTTGTCAAAAAGAACTTCAGAAATACAGAAGCGTGTATGTTTAAAAGTAAAAGTCTCCCCATCGCCCCACTCCCACTCCCTGGAGAGAACTTCTCATGATCATCTATTGTGTTTCCATGGCTCTTGACTGTGCATTTACAGTCGCACACATTTCGTGTGTCTCTCTCTCTTTTCTTTCTTTTTTTTTTTTTTACACAAATGGAATCATATTGTTCTGCAGCTTGTTTTATTTCACTTAACGGTTATTGCCTTGGCCATTTTCCAGCAGGTTCCAGGCTGGGACCGAGAGAAGCAGAAGGGCTGCGGGAGCCCTGGAAAACAATCGTGTGTGTGTGTGTGTGTGTGTGTGTGTTGGGGGACAGGAAGGAGCCCCAGGGTGTGTGTGTGTGTGTGTGTGTGTGTGTGTGTGTGTTGGGGGACAGGAAGGAGCCCCAGGGTGTGTGTGTGTGTGTGTGTGTGTGTATGTATGTGTGTGTGTGTGTGTGTTGGGGGACAGGAAGGAGCCCCAGGGTAGATGGGAATCCTGGCAGAGAAGCCCCATCATCAGCTCCCAGGGCTCGGTGACAGCTGTCTCTAGACTTGCACTCTCGGAAGCAGGAGCCACACCAACTTGTCCACAAACCCTGCCCAGGGCCTGGCACATAGTAGGTGCTCAAGAAACATTTGTACAATGAATTGCGTCCCTGCCAAGCCCGTCTGTCTTGTCCTGGCAAAGACTGCCTGGTCTCCATGACTGTACTCCTTTCTGTCTCTCGTTGGGTGTGTATTTCAGCTCATGCTCAGATGGCATTGACCCCAAATGGCCCCAGGAGATGGGGCAGAGCTCAGGGAGAGGGAGAAGACCCTCCCCCTCGACAGGTCCAGTCCCTTTCTGTCCCTTTCTGCTGTCAGTTTGCTCACCTCCCTAATGAGGGGGCTGGACCGGCAGATCTCCAGGGGTCCTCCCAGCTCTGCTGTCCGTGGTTTCAATCCCACTCCCTCATTTCACGGATGAGGGGCTGAGTCGGGTTTAATTTCGTCAGCTGCCTCAGAAATCCACTGGGAAAAGGGGGGGCTTGAGTTTGGGGATGCAGAGAGGGCTGCTGCCATATACACCAACTGTGTGCCAGCCCTGAGCTGAGAGCTTTCCGTAAAGCGCGCTGCCTGAATCCGTGGGTCACTTTCCTGGGCTCAGAGAGGGTGAGTGACTCGCCCAGGGTCACACCAGCACTGAGCTGGGGGTGGATCTCGGCTCTGCCTGATCCCAAATGGGGAACTCTTCTCAGCTTGGCCCTCCGTGAACCCAAGTCAATAAAAGAGAGAGTATCTGGCTGGACCAAGCCATCCTCGGAACACTTCAGGGGCCTCTCCCTCATCATTCCTCAGACAGCCTGACTTCTGTGTCTGAGCCCCAGGGCGACATGCCTGGGATTTGGGCCAGGAAAGTAGTTGACTTGCAGAATTGGCTGGCGAGGGCTTGGGTACAAGAGACTTCTGGTGGGTTTTGGCCCTAAGCCCAACCCCCTCCCTGCCCTCTCCCCCTAGCCAGCTTCCTGGGGGTGGGTTGAGCCCATCTCCATTATTCATTCCTTGCCCCCAACTCCCACCCCCCACCTGGTGTTAAACTCCTGGGGTTGGCGTCTAGACAGACCAGAGCATCCTACTGAGAACAGAAGCAGCCCTGACTGGGGCTGAAGGTTCCCATGGCAACTGCATCCCCTCAGCTGGCAGCTACCCGATAAATAAATAATTAGGGTGGGGGTGGGGAGCTAAGGGCGGGGGGGGGGGGGCAGCAGGGGAGCCTCTCGGAGGTTTCACTCAGGAAAGGGGTGGGTTAGAAGTGGGGCGTGGCGGGGGAGGAAGGAAAGGGGGGCGGCATTGCAAAGGCCAGGTGAGAGCAGACCCTGGAGGGAGAGAGGTGACCTGCCGTGTAAGAGATTCAGCAGGTCAGAGAGCCAGACCTGGACAGGCCGGCATGGAGGGGAGGGAGGGAAGGGAGACCTAAAGTTCAGCTTTCTAGCTCCTGCAGGTGGACACGTCATGGGGCCCCACATCACTGGAAACAGGCCAGGTTTGGGCGTGTTAAGTTCACGATGAGCCATCCAGTGGGTAGCTGGTTTCTAAAAAGGCTGGAAGCGCCGAAACCGGTTTGGCTCAGTGGATAGAGCGTCGTTCTTTGGACTCAAGAGTCCCGGGTTCAGTTCCGGTCAAGGGCATGTACCTTGGTTACGGGCACATCCCCAGTGGCGGGTGTGCAGGAGGCAGCTGATGGGTGTTTCTCTCTCATCAATGTTTCTAGCTCTCTATCCCTCTCCCTTCTTCTCTATAAAAAATCAATAAAATATATTTAAAAAAAAGAATAAAGGGGCTGGAAGCTGAAACAGGAGCAGGTAGATGCTGAAGCTTGAGTAGGCAAGCTGGGACAAGTGGAGTATGAAAAGGGATCAGCTATAGCCTGAGGTTCTTTGCTATTTAGGGGTCTGAGTGCAAGGGAGGGTGAGCTGCCCTGGACTCGGGAGGGGCCAGGAAGGGCGGAGAGAGGCAGAACCGTTGCCTGGCTCTGCCACAACCAGTTGTGTGACCTTAGGCAAGTCACTTCCTCTCTCTGAGCCTCGCCTCTTTCTCCAAAAACGACACAGTGGCCTCCCTTCTGCCTTTCTGCCAAGGAGTATCAAGGGAGAGATGAACTTGGAACGCTCTTTACCATCTGCAGAGCCCTGGGAGGGGCGTCACCAACAAGAGGCAGGCGGGTGCCAGGTGGGTGGGTGGGTGCCAGGGGTGAGCCTGCAGCTTGCTGGGTCTCTGCCCAGCCCTGCCATCTGTGTGGTGGCATCAGGTCCACCTTCTCCTCCTCCCCGCCAGGAAAAGAGCTCCTGGGATCTTTTCACTTTAGCAGAATCTTCCCTCTCCCTGCCAAGCCAGACCCTCCAATCTCCCTTCCTTCTGTCTTAGGACTCTTGGCTGCAAGTGACAGAAATCACAGGTACAAGGAGGGACGGTTAGTTTCAGGCCTGTCTGGATCCCCAGACCTAAAATGATGTCACCAGGGACACTGTTCCTGCCTGTTCATCGTCCTTCCTCACTCTCTGTTCCTTAGCTTTGGTGACTCTCGGGAGAAGGCACACAGTGAGTGCCCCCTCCCCCCTGAAGAGATCACTGTGGATTACTTGGTTAGGCATAGGTCACAAGCCCGCTGTGGGAGTTAGAAGTGGAATCAGCCCCACCCGGCCACACGAACTGAGTGTCTGGGCGGCAGCTTCCAAAACCAGAAGAAGGAATATTGGTCAGTCAATACGTGGCACCTTTATTCCTGATTTTATCAGCTGAAAGACTGAACGAGGGGCTGCTGGGAAGGGAGTGTTGATTGTGTCCTGCATCAGCTAGCTTTTGCTGTGTAACAAATCACCCCGAGATGTAGTCGTTTAAAAAAAGAACCATTTTATTCAGCGCATGATTCTGAGGGTCAGCTGGGGGATTGTTCTGATCTGGGCTGTGTGGCTGTGGTCAGCCGGTGGGTTGGCCAGCATCTGAATGAGCTGGTGTGGCCTCACTCTGATGGCTGGCTGGCTGGCTGGCAGCTGGGGTGCCTGTCATTCAGCAGGTCAGCATGGGCTCTTCCACAAGGTGTTCTCTGTGTTACAAGTGTAGCCAGGGAGCAAGCTCCAGTGCACAAGCATTTTTCAAGCCTTCACTTGCTTCACATTTGCTTAACTCCCATTGGGCAAAGCAAGTCACATGACCAAGTGCAGAGCTAGTGTGGGCGGGCCCTGCCAAAGAAAAGGGAAAAAGGGAGGAGAATCTGAGGCCAGTTTTGCAATCTACTGCAGCTCCCTCAGGGAAGGGGAGAAAGCAAAATCTCTTTCTCTGTGGCCCATGGATCCCCTAGGCCAGTGTTTCCCAAACTTTTGACATATGTGTACCCCTTCTATAATTTTCGTAATGCTGGGTACCCCTCATACTCATGAGAATGTAGAATTAGGCGCAGCTAAGCACGATGCAGTGCATATCCCCACCAAACTCTTCCCGTACCCCTGGGGGTACGAGTACCACACTTTGGGAAACACTGCCTAGGCCACAGAGAGGGGGCCTGGGGAGAGATGACTCAGACCCAGAGGCATCCCTGAGGCCTCCAAGGGCCAGGGCCGGGGGAGGAGTCTGGATCCTGACTCTACTGACTGAGAGCCCCATATAAGGAGGGAGCAAATGGGAGGACTTCTTGACAGGGAGGTAGCTGTTTAAACTCTGGCTCCCGTCTCCCTTCAGCCCACCCCAAAGTCATGCTCAGGGCTCAGTCCTCCACCCCCACAGACTTGTCCCACCTCCCAGCACCCCTTTGGTACTGCAGGGCTGGGATGGCTCTGGGATTTCTGCACCATCCGCCATGGTTCCTCATCACCACCATAACTGATGTCACCTCATCCACAAGGTCAAGGAGTCCCCGTCCTTCCCTTTTATGTCACGCACACGGCCTCAGTCTGCTCTTCCCCACAGGTGGCTGCACTGGAGCGGCAGATCTTTGACTTCCTGGGCTACCAATGGGCTCCTATCCTGGCCAACTTCCTGCACATCATGGCGGTCATCCTGGGCATCTTTGGCACGGTGCAATACCGCTCCCGGTACCTCATTCTGGTATGGCTCATGACTCCTCCTAAGCCACCCCCTTCTCCTCACCCCCTTCCATCGCCCCCACTTCTCCAACCAAAACTGTCCCCCCACCCACCACCACCACCACCACAGGCACGCAGACCCCTGCCCTGTTGGTGTGAATGCCCAAATCCCAATGCTTCTTCATTCAGCAGAGACAAGATTGGCATTTTTCCTAAATAATTTCCTAGGGGAAAAAATCCAACTATGAACATGATACATCATTTGAGGAGTGCCTACCTTGTGTTTGGCTCTCTGCGAAGGAGTCCCTTGCTTTATTGGATCTTTACACAGCTCTGGGAGGTGTGTCGCACCAGCTCCATTTTCTGTGAGTCTCAGAAAGGTGACAACACTTCCTAAGGTCACACAGCCAGTGGGAGGCAGAGCCAGGACTAGAGCCTCAGATCCAGAGCGGATGCTCCTGCCACCTCACCAGGCCGCCTCTGGAAGCCCGTGTGAGGAAGGAGCCTTGTCGAGCCTGGTTCCTTGGGTTGCTTCGGGAAAGCTTGGCGTTTGTCCCTCGTCCCTCGGTGCTCATCGAGAATACTGCTGAGAGTGGCCCTGGGCCCATCCCCAGAGTGGGTTGTGTCCCTGGCTCCTTTTTCTGAATCACATGTGTCAAACACAAGGCCCGCGGGCCAAATCCGTCCCGCCAGGCCTTGCAATGTGGCCCGCACCGCGCTGTCATCACTGCACTCCACTGCGTTTCCATCACAATGACAGTTTATGACTGTTCAGTAAACCATTCGGCCCGTGATTTAGGCTGGATTTTAGATTTTGGCCCCTTCTCTGATTGAGTTCGACACCCCTATTCTAAATCCTGGCTGGTCCTGGCTGGTCTCTGTCTAACTCCGGTTTTCAGTTCCTGTGTCCCCTGCTCTTCTTCTGTGACCCATTCACCACTTACCTCTCTTGAGGGAAAAGGCTTTTCAGCAGATTCACTGCAGAAATGCTTGGCACCTGCAATAACAGTGACACCCAGTGTCCTGCTACCCCCAGCGCCCTCTAGCCCTCATTCTGGGGCTTGTCCCCGCCTCCCAGAGACCAGGAGAAGAACATGGCCCTTCCAGGGTTTTCTCTCATCTGAGTGAGACGTGAGAACCCTTCTCTCCAGTTCTCAGGATGCCCAGGCACCAGTATAAAATGCTGCGCCTGCTGGTGGCAGCCACAGGAATTGTCGGCATAGGGTTTGGGTGCAAATAGCCAGCCCCGCTCCAGCTCTTGGCCATGTGCGGTGGCATGGCATTAGTGGATAGCATTAGTTACCCTAGGACTTGGGTTTGAGTTCCAGCCCTGCCTCTTTCTAGCTGTGTGATCTTAGGGGGGGTGGGGGGGAGACTCTCTCTAGGCCTTAAATTAGTTATCTTTGAAGCGAGGACAATGCCTTCCCTGCAGGGCCGTTACAAAGACTGGTTTGGTATAAAAATGATTTGTTAACGATTCTCGGTGCTCTAGAAGCAAGGTATTCGTAACTTCCCCTGCAAAAGTCTTCTCAGTCCATTAACTCTGTGTCCATGGACGTACCCCCAGCCCACTCCCCCAGGCCCCACCCTGACCCCACCTCTGCTTTCCCCAGTATGCAGCCTGGCTGGTGCTTTGGGTTGGCTGGAATGCGTTTATCATCTGCTTCTACCTGGAGGTTGGACAGCTGTCCCAGGTAAGCCTCAGGCCTGGCAGTGCCAGAGCACACAGCCTGACCTCTCCCCTCCAGTGATAGAGGGCTGGGGCATGCTCTCTTTGGTGAATTTATTTGGGGGGAGGGATTATCTCTTGAAGAAACTTCCCTCCGAACACCCAAGTAATCTATTCCCATCTCCCACCCCACATTTTTGTTTCTGGCCCCCTCTGCCCTCTCAGACACAAATGATGACGGAGCAGATAAGAATGGAGATGAGTCTGTGTGAAGATGGGCTGGGGTCATGGCTGATAACAAGCTTTGTAGAAACTAAAAGTATATGGTGGCCAGCAGATCTACTCTTAGGCCTCACACATCCTCAGTGCAAGGGAGGTGAAAATCCCATGCATTTTGTACTGTTTAGACCACAAAGATTTGAGTTCAGTGGTGATCAATATTTTTCAGAAGAAAAAAGAGATTGAGCCGAAACCGGTTTGGCTCAGTGGATAGAGCATCGACCTGTGGACTGAAAGGTCCCAGGTTCGATTCTGGTCAAGGGTGTGTGCCTTCGTTGCACGCACATCCCCGGTGGGGGATGTGCAAAAGGCAGCTGATTGATGATTCTCTCTCATCGATGTTCCTAGCTCTCTATCCCTCTCACTTCCTCTCTGTAAGAAAATCAATAAAATATATTAAAAAATAAAATTTAAATGAAAGTGAAAAAAAATATTAAAAGAAAAAGAGATTGACTAGAGTTTGTTTGGGAAAAATTGAACAGACCATGTCCCATGGAAAAATACTGAAGAAAGTAGGAATATTTAGCTTTGAGCTCGAGACTGGTTTGGCTCAATGGATAGAGCGTCGGCTTGGGGACTGAAGGGTCCCGGGTTCGATTCCGGTCAAGGGCATGTACCTTGGTTGCGGGCATATCTCCAGTAGGGGGTGTGCAAGAGGCAGCTGATCGATGGCTCTCTATCCCTCTCCCTTCCTCTCTGTACAAAATCAATAAAATATATATTTTTTTAAAAAGTATTAAAAACCAGTCATTTAAGAAAAAAAAAAGAAAGTAGGAATAATTAGCTTTGAGAAGAGTAAACCCAGAGGGTATAACTTCCATTTTTTAAAAAAACGTTTTTATTTATTTATTTTTATTATATTTTATTGATATTTTACAGAGAGAAAGGGAGAAAGATAGAGAGCTAGAAACATCAATGAGAGAAACATCAACCAGCTGCCTCTTACACACCTCCCACTGGGGATGTGCCCGCAACCAATGTACATGCCCTTGACCAGAATCAAACCTGGGACCTTTCAGTTCGCAGGCCAAAACTAGACCACTGAGCCAAACCGGTTTCGGCTCCATTTTTTTTTTTTTCTTTCTTCATTTTTTAACTCTAACCCAAGGATTCTTTTTTTTTTCATTAATATCTAGAGAGAGTGGAAGGGAAGGAAGGAGAGAGAGAGAGAAACATCAACATGAGAGTGGGTTGCCTCCTGCACGTGCCCCTGTGAGAGCTAAGGAAACTGCAATGGAAGTATGTGCATGCCCTTCGGTCCACAGGCCCACACCCCAACCACTGAGCCAAACTGGCCAAGGCACAGCTTTCATTCTTAGATATTAAGAAGGCAGCATTACATGAATGAGAGCATTTGGCTTTGTAGTTTGACTACCTACTAGATTCAAATCCAGCTCCAATGTTTTCTAGCTGTCTGACCTTGGGCAAGTGTCTTCCTCTCTCTGAATTTCAGTTCCTTATTTAGTAAATTCAGATAGAGCAACCCTGACTTCCTTTGATTGCTGAGTCTTTGCACCTGGTCAGCATGCAGTGACTGACTGTTAGTGGCCTGTGTGAGTGAATGGATTAATGGACACGGGGGTGCACCTCATAGATAACAACTTCTGGCCTAGGTCAGCCGCTTCGCCCGAGGGAAAAGGTTTGCCCAGGGTCACACATGGGGAGCAGGCGTGGAGAGGCTGAATGGGTCATGAAAGGGCCTGTATTGAAGATTTCACCAATAGCTGGAAACTTGTATCTGGTCACTGTTAATGTTCTTTCCAGCCCTGTAATCCTGGGGTTCTGTAGCTCAGTACCAACCCCTTCTATTGCTGATGGGATGGGGAGGCTTGCATGGTCATCACGTGCCACCTACTGGCCAAATGTGGATCTGCAGATACATACTCTTCACACCCCCTCACCCCCATCCATGCCCTCCACAATGCAAGTGATGGGAGGAGGCTGCTCTAACGGTCCACGTGTGAAAGAGGCTTTATATATAGTCTCCTGGGCCGTGGGGAGGATGCTCCCACCCCAGCTCAGTATCCTAGGCCCCTCTACCCCCAGGACCGGGACTTCATCATGACCTTCAACACATCCCTGCACCGCTCCTGGTGGATGGAGAACGGGCCAGGCTGCCTGGTGACACCTGTCCTGAACTCCCGCCTGGCCCTGGAAGACCACCATGTCATCTCTGTCACTGGCTGCCTGCTCGACTATCCCTACATCGAAGCCCTCAGCAGCGCCCTGCAGATCTTCCTGGCTGTGAGTCCTCCTGTCCTCCACCTCACAGCACTCCCAGGAGTGGAGTCTGAAAACCCCTTTGCATAGCCCTACTTAAGAAGGGTTGAGTCTAGGTCTTCCAGCTTGCCTGGGGAGGATTTCCCCACCCCACATAATTGTCTTTCCTCTTAACAAGCCAATAAGATATTGTCCAGATCCAACTGGGGAAATTGAGGCTCAAATAATTACTTGTCCAAAGTCACACTCCCAGGACAGAGACTGGAACCAGGAAGGTTTGACTTGAAGGCCCAGTCATTAACTTGGAAGTTGTTATGGGTTTGCCTTCATATCAGCATGCCCTGCCCCTCCAGTGTGGATAGGCAGGGCCAGGCAGAGGGTGGGGGGAGGGTTTCCCTCCTCCTCATCCTCTTCCTCCCCCAGCTGTTCGGCTTTGTGTTCGCCTGCTACGTGAGCAAAGTGTTCCTGGAGGAAGAAGACAGCTGTAAGTGTGTGGCGCCCTCAGGAAGCGGAAAAGCCTGGCCGCGGGGCACCCCGGGCTTCAGCACCCTGGACAGGGGCCCGCACCGCCTCGGTGGGAGGGAGCCCGGGGCGGCCCCTCTCTGAGTGGGGAGGAGAGGAGACAGGGGTGGGTGACGTTTATATACGGTAGTCGGACCATTCTGGACTGAGGTCCAGATGTCCAGGTACCCAGTCCAGGGCTCCAGGACCCCCGCCTTCCCCGCCCCTGTCAGGCCCTGCCCCTGGGAGGGGTTCCACAAGGCTGGTCCCTATCTGGCACCTCCCATTCCCAGCGTTTTTCCCCCAACCCCGTCTCCTCCCCCCAAGTGGCTCAAGCCCTGCCCCCAAGAACCTTCTCCCTTCAGAATGCCCCGCCCCCCGCCCATTTCTAACTAAGTGCCACCTTCCCTTCCGCAGTTGACTTCATCGGTGGCTTTGACTCCTACGGATACCAGGCGCCCCAGAAGACGTCGCATTTACAGCTGCAGCCTCTGTACACGTGGGTCATGGCGCCGAGCAGGGTGGGACGGGGGCCCCGGGCGTTAGAGTCGGTAAAAAGGAGAGGAGGGGTGGGAAGAGCAGACGGACGGATCTCTCTGTTCCCCCATCATCCGGGATCCACTTTCCTAACCTGCCTTTGTTTCCTGCAGATCGGGCTAGCTTCAGCCCCACGCCCACCCCGGTGCCGAGTGCTTTGTGCTAAACGGACAGCCACTGCCGCGAGCTCGGGGCCCAGAAGGCAGGCGCGCCCCCTGGTGTCTGGCGGGCTGACTGCAGCGGATCTGGCCTGCAGCGGACTTGGACTTGGCCCTGTGCAGCCTGGATGGACTTCAGGGATGGGGCGGGGCGGGGCGGGGTGAGGGAGGGGAATCTCGGGGTTTGTATTTTTTTTAAATCTCAGCCTTGGCGGGCGCTGGGGCCTCCCTCCCTTTTTCCAGCCTCTCTCTTTCAACCTTCATTCAGCATCCTGTTCACTGTCCAGAGAGCAGAGGCAGGATGGACACTCACCCCATCTCACCACACTCATTTCACTCCGCGAGCTCGGAGCAGGAGTCCTGGGTTCTAATCGCAGCTCCATCACCGACTCTCTGTGTGGCAGCTGGCAAAGCCCTGGCCCTCTCTGGCCCTCAGTTTCCCCACCTCAGATAATTAAAATAACCCCTTAGCAGATGGAGCTCTTTCTAGCCTTCTCTCTCGATGGATTCTTGAGTTCCCTGGGTTAGGCGGGGGTTATAATCCCCATTTTGCAGATAAGGAAACTGAGGCCCAGAGGGGGTAGAGTGATTTGCTTTGAGGCCACACCGCTAGGCTTTTGAACACAGTGTACTTTCTGTAGTTTCAACCTCCAAAACCCAGTGCCTGGTCTCCAGATGTCATTTTCAAACCCCTTTCCAACTTAGACACTCTAGAACCCGATGAGATCCACACCGTATTTCCACATCACCGCCACCACTTGCCAACGCCTCTCTTAAAGCAATATACCCGTTCTCTCGTCGGGAACTGGACATAGGGAGCCCAGGGCCCTGAATCCAGCCTGACCCACCGGGAGGCCTTCCTAGACTTGGCTTCTGTCCACCGTTGGCAAACCTTCCAAGCTCTCTCCAGGAAAGGGGATTCCCAGTCAACTGTCAGCCCCCTTTCCAGATCCCTAAAGCTGCTGCACCTGTGGTCCCCTCCGCGCTCAGCAACTCCACCTGAGCAGTTGGAAGACCTGTGACTTAAGAGCGGAAAAGGGCAGCTCAGCTCTGCCAGGTCACCACGCTCACAGATCCCTAGCATTTATGACTACTCCAATGCCCTGGAGAAGAGGTAGAGAGGGCTGGTGTGGGGGTCAGGAGGCCCAGCACACTAACTTGAGAGCAAGTAGAGATGAGAGCTCCTTCTCCCCACCTCCCTCCACAGGCATCCCAGAGCACCCTGCCTCCTGGGCCCTGGCGGGTGAGTCCAAGGGCAGGAGGGTCAGGCCTCAGCTCCAGCCTGTGAAGTTGGAGTGGCCCTGGGGAAGGAGGGACGGGAGGCCTCAGGGAGCTGGAGGGAAGTGCAGACCGTTTGCACACCTGAGCCCGTCTGTGGTGACCACTTTGTTCTGTGCTCTTCACTCTCTAGTATTTCCTACTGTCTAAAGCCGACACAGCCTGAGCTAAAACCCCACTCCGAGTGCAGCTCTGTGCCAAGGAACCAGCCCCAGGAGTTTCCCTGGTCACCACAGGCACCGAGGTCCCAAATGGTCAGCCTATTAGCCGGTGGGTACAGCTCAAGATGGGGCAGTTCCCTTCAGGCCTGACTGCTGCCCCACCACTTGGCTAACTCCTGCTTCCAGCCCTCTCTTCTTTCTCCTCCCTGCCCTCCTTCCCCCCAGCCAATTGTCATCTCGCCTCCACTCCCCCAACCCCCTTTCTACTCAAGGGGTTTAGCCACTGGTGCTTTGAAGCCTTTTGTTTTTATAAGACAGTTTTTGCAAGGGGACCGAGTTCTCACTGGGACCTTGCAAGGCAGGGAGCGTTCCCCTGGTCTCTGCGCAGGCGGGTTGATTAAAGATGGTGTTTTCTTCTCTATCCTCCTGTCCTCCCTCCGGCCTTGTGAGTCAGCAGGGCCCCTGCATGAGGGTGGGCAGGGGCTGGAATCAATGTCCTTGTCACTGTCATTCCTGGGGCCCTGGCCTGGGCCTCTCACTGGCTGTGTAGCTTTGGGCAGGCTGTTCTCCCTCTTTCCTGGTCCATAAGATTCAGAGGTGGGACTGAGGGGGTTTCTAGGGCTTCCCAGTCCTTTGGAAAGCTTCCTATTTGTTTTGTTTTGTGTGTGTGTGTGTGTGTGTGTGTGTGTGTGTGTTTTAATCTTTTATATATATTTTTTAACTGATTTTTTTACAGAGGAAAGGAGAGAGATAGAATTAGAAACATCAATGAGAGTTGTCGATCAACTGCCTCTTGCACGACCCTACTGGGGATGTGCCCGCAACCAAGGTACATGCCCTTGACCGGAATCAAACCCGGGACCTTTCAGTCTGCAGGCCGATGCTTTATCCACTGAGCCAAACTGGTTTTGGCTACTGAACAATTCTTTCAACTTTTCTGGGTGACGGAACTTTTCCATAGTGAAATGTTCATAAACAATGGAAATGCAAGGAAGCTGGATGTTTAAACCCAAAGAATCATGCACAAGAAGGGATGACTAGAAAGTTGTCATGCAATTTTAAACGTATATCCCATCACCGACCACATGGCAATGCGAGCTCATGTTCTTTATAATTTCTTTAATCATCCTTTGCTTCTGTTTGTGAGTGAGTGTGTTAAAGGTGTTAATTTACTAGAATCGAACCCGGGACCTTTCAGTCCGCAGACCGATGCTCTACCACTGAGCCAAACCTGTTTCGGCCATTTTTATTTATTTATTTATTTATTATTCATTTATTTTTTAAAATATATTCTATTGATTTTGTACAGAGAGGAAGGGAGAGAGATAGAGAGTTAGAAACATCGATGAGAGAGAGTCATCGATCAGCTGCCTCTTGCACACCCCCCAATGGGGACATGCCCGCAACCAAGGCGCATGCCCCTGACCGAAATCGAACCCGGGACCCTTCAGTCCCCAAGCCGACGCTCTATCCATTGAGCCAAACCAGTTTCGGCCATTTTTATTTTTTGACATATATTTTTATTGATTTCACAGAGAGAGAGAGAAACATTGATTGGCTGCCTCCTGCACACCCCGCACTGGGGATTGAGCCTACAACCCAGGCATGTGCCCTGACCGGGAATGGAACTGTGACCTCCTGGTTCATTAGGTTGCCACTCAACCATTGAGCTACACCGGCTGGGGGCTGGGCAAAGCTCTCCACTTTTAAAGTCTTGATCGGTTTGGGCCCACTCACATAGTCCAGGAAAATATCCCCTTCTCAAAGCACTTAATCACATCTGCTAAAGTCCTTCTTTTAAAAAAATAAAGATTTTGATTGATTTTTTTGGGGGGGAGTAGTATCAATCTGCCACTCCACCCATTTATGGGTTCATTGGTTGATTCCTGTTTGTGCTCTGACTGGGGATTGAACCTGCAGCCTTGGTGTATCAGGACAACAGTCCAACCAACCAAGCCACCTGGCCAAGGCTGCAAAACTCCCCTTTGTCATGCCCACATTCACAGGCTCCAGGGATTAGAATGCGGACAGCTTTAGGAGCCATTATCCTGCCTTCCACAGGGAAGTTGTATCCAGGTTATAGCCCTGAATGCCAAACCAGGGGCATCAGGCATGGTGGCTTCTGCAGGATTTTGAAGAAAGCCACCAATTAGAGCTGTCCTGCAGAGAGAACAGTGGGGCTGGAGAGGGGCGGGTTGGAGGAGGAGAGCAGGAAGCAGTGTTCTTTTGGGAAGAGGCCTAGGGTGTCTCAGTTCTGTGTGTTTCATGGGGCATATGTGTGTGACCATGAACTCTAACCTTGGAGGGTAGCACAGCAATGAAGAGCATCAAATGCAGAAGTCAGGCATACCCGGGTCCAAATGTATCACTCTGGCCCCTGCTGGTTCATCTCAGTGGACAGTGTCCGCCTGTGGACTGAAGGGCCTCGGGGTTGTAAGGTTTGAGGCGCAGGAAATTGACCACCAAGATATATTAAAGTAAAATTTATTCCCCAGTAGTGAGCGGGACTCAGGGAGGTAGAGAAATCAGAATTGAAAGAGTGGGGAGGGGAGAAAGGACCCAGCGGGCTGCCTCCATAGATGGCGATGTAGAGAAGCAACACGTGGCTGGTCTGGGGAGTCTTTTTGAGGGGAGGATCAGGAAAGGGGTTAGACCCAGGGCGGAACAGGAAGGGGTGGGCTCCAGGGCACTTCGGCACGCGCTGATTGGTGGTTCAATGTCTTGGGGTTGTCTCTGTGGCAGATGCCAGTAATGTCATAATTCCACCCACCAGTCTGGGGACGGGAGAATCTCACAGGGGTCAATTCCAGTTAAGGGCACATGGCCAGGTTTTGGGCTGGATCCGCAGTAGGGGGCGTGCAAGAGGCAGCCGATCAATGATTTTCTATCTCTCCCTTCCTCTCTAAAATCAATAAAATTATATATTTTTTAAAAAGTATGATTCTGGCCCTAACCGGTTTGGCTCAGTGGATAGAGTGTCAGCCTTCGGACTGAAAGGTTCCAGGTTCGATTCCGGTCAAGGGCATGTACTTTGGTTGCAGGCACATCCCTGGTAGGGGGTGTGCAGGAGGCAGCTGGTCAATGTTTCTCTCTCATCGATGTTTCTAGCTCTCTATCCCTCTCCCTTCCTCTCTGTAAAAAATCAATTAAAAAACAAACTATGACTCTGGAAACCACCAAACTGATCTTCCCACCAAACCCAGTGAAACTCCCCAGCTCCTGGGGCCATCTCCCAGCAACCTCTGCCGGTTAGAATAATCCAGATAAGACGGACCATCTTCAACAACTGCTCAGTCATCAGAGTGCCCAAGGCTTTCCGTGAAGCAACTGAACATAAACTCTCAAAGGTGGATTTGACAAGCACAATAGTCTACTGAGATTTATAGGCATGCTAGTGTTTTTTTCAATGTGTTGAAATTGGGTCTTGGAGTTTTTCAAACAGCTTAGAAGTGAGAGAGGGCCTGATGCCAAGGCCTCTGCTTTGCATGATTCATTATCGTCCAGGCTACTGGCCCAGGCAATGTTCCTCACTCTTGCATATATGAGTCCCTTTAAATCCAAATTTCTGAGCCAGATCCAAGACACAACCCAACATCTGAGCAGCAATAGGAACCTGGTTTGTTTGCTTTTGTCTTTACAAATGTCCCCAGGTGATGCAGGTCTGGGAAATCCTCAGCCCTGGGAAAGAGGCTTGCAAACATTTTTTATTCTTCCTTGAAGCCAGTGTCATGGAGGCCTCACCAAAGTAAGCCTGTCAGCTCCTTCAGATCAGAGTTAAATTTCAGTTATTGCCCCGAAGCCCACTTTTAGTTGTTATAATTTTTTTAATGGGTTAGGCCGCACATGTGTCAAACACAAGGCCCGCGGGCCAAATCCGTCCGTCCCACCAGGCCTTGCAATGTGGCCCGCACCGCGCTGTCATCACTGCACTCCGCTGCGTTTCCATCACAATGACAGTTTATGACTGTTCAGTAAACCATTCTGCCTGCGATTTAGGCTGGATTTTAGATTTTGGCCCCTTCTCTGATTGAGTTCGACACCCCTAGGTTAGGGCCTAACGGTTAGGCATTTTAAAGGCTGTGGTCAACTTTTTAAAAAAATATATTGATTTTTTACAGAGAGGAAAGGAGAGGGATAGAGAGTTAGAAACATCAATGAGAGAGAAACATCGACCAGCTGCCTCCGGCACACCCCCTGCTGGGGATGTGCCCGCAACCAAGACACATGCCCTTGACCAGAATCGAACCTGGGACCCTTCAGTCCACAGGCCAATGCTCTCTCCACTGAACCAAGCTGGTTTCGGCTGAGATCAACTCTTGAACTTAAACATGGACATAACTTCACCATAACTTAGTTTGGGCAAAGGCAGGACCATGCTCTGCCTTTCTCCTCGGTCACTGGGAGGTGAGTGCAGCTCCAATTGGCCTCAGACCACCTGAGCTGGGGCCACGCCCGGCCCTAAGCCCGGCTTCCAGTGACTCACACTCCCCCTCTCTGCAGGCCCTGGAATCCGATTGTGCAGGCCCGTGCAGACCGAGCTGCAGAGTGCCCAGTGCTGCTTGTCCAGTCCCTAATTCTGCTTCCTCTGCCCCTGCCACCTGGGACCTGGTCAACTCCTCCCACCTCTGGCCTTGGTGCCTTGAGGGCTGAACTTTGCATGATGACTTCTTTCCGACTGACATTTTGAGAAAAGGCCTCTCAACCCTAATGTACTTGGGGGTATCTCTTTGAAATACAGATTCCTGGGCCACATGCACATACCAGGTTCTAATTCATTGGGACCCAAGCACCTGAATTAATCCTTCAAATATTTATGAAGCACCTACTATGCCCCAAGAATTGGGATACAACAATGAACAAGACAGAAGGTAATCCCTACTCTCAGGAGGAGAGCTATTGGGAGGAAACAAATAAACCAGCAAAACCTCTGATATGTCAAGCTCAGTGTCAGCGAGCAAAACAGGGCAGGGAAGGGAGTGTCGGATAAGAATTTATTCCAGTTTTCACTTGGACTCCAGGTCAGGAAGGGCTCCTGGGGAAGAATTTTTGGTAAAAGACCTAAAGGTTAGGTAGGAAGCACATGGAGCAGCAAGTGCACCGGCCCTGAGGTGGGCGCGTGCCCGTGTGGAGAGGGCAGAGAGGTAAGAGAGAAGGTTAGAGGTGAGGAGCGGGAGGCACGTCAGACTCTATTGTCCTTAAAGGACTTCATAAGGGCTTTAGCTTTTCCTCTGAAAGACTAAAAGGAGGAATGTGACCCGGTGCCGGGGAAAACCCCTTTGGATACTGTGTGGAGAACAGACTGTAGGAAATCCAAGCTGACGGAAGGAGAGAGACCAGGCCAGATGCCACCAAGAAATCCAGATGAGAGATGCCAATGGTTCAGGCAGGGTGGCAGCAGTGGAGGTGGTGAGGAATAGCAAG